ATAGAGGATGTTGAACATTGCACACCATCATACTTATTGAACACTGCGTTCACGGTTATGTTTTACATTGTAGTAGAACTTAAAGCTAAACAATATTGTTAACGCTATGAGGATCTGACTTATATACGTTGAATCGCGTTGTTTCCATCACGGAATAATTATAATATTACCCATTTTACAAGTCTATTATTTCTATGGCTTGTGTGTTACAAATAGGCTATTTTTTAAAAGCAATTTCATGGACAGAGAGATGTTGAAGCTGCATAAATGATTTATCAATGAATATTTGTAACAAAAAATTGAATCCTAATCTTAAAAAGACTGACCCTTTCCTCGTAGCCTACCTAAATCAATCTCCTATTTCTATTAAAAAATTTGCTCCTACTATTGGCAGTGTGAAAAATAATAAACCCCTATATCCAAATAATTAATAATTTCTTTTGAAACCTAGTGTAAAATTTGAACATCGACTATGTACAGAATTTATTACATAATGTTTTAAGAACTAGAAATTGTATTTAAATAGCCTTGCTCATAGAGATTTTAGGTACCTCTTGACTACTGTGTCATCATCATCTATATCAACCAGATCATCATTATTTCGCCTTGTGATGTCATTGATGATATCCTCTTTGATTCGAGTGTAACCTCTTTGAGTCGATTGTAGCACACTTCTTCCTATTGGATGGTTATGTAGATGATTGGCATTCATAGGATTTGGAAGCTATGAATTATTTGTTCTAATTCACTCATAATATCCTTGTCCTCAATGTCTCCTTCAGATTCTCATTGGACAATACTAATTTTGTAATAATGAGAACAATTAGTTAAAAGTCTCGAGCTTAACATCAAATGTTCATGCTGCAACAACCATACGAATAGCTTTGAAAGTATCAATCTTTTCAAGATCACGTGCATTGAATTCCAAATGTTTGAGTAGCATACGATTAAAGAAATGATGATGATATGCCTCGAAGTTGTGAATTATTCCAACATTGCACGGTTATAGCTTTGACGTCAAATTGGTTGATAGATAGTTCACGTTAAAGATGATTAGGTTTTTCTGTAAGTGGTACATGAACAATGCAATTGTCAAGGATAAGCAAAATCTTTCGATTTGCTTTGTTAAGATCAAATGCTCGAAGCCACTGTACAAATAGAGTTTGTGCGATTGAATATTTTTGCTTGTCCTCTTGGCAGCCAAGATTGTCCCATGAACATGCTTGAAACGATGTAAATTCAAATAATTTCCAATTGTCCACAAGGAGATTTTGTGAATGCTATACACATTGGTGCATATGACCACAACCATTCTTTATTTTTTTTCTGCTTGCAACCTTCAAGCTATTTTGCTGCCGAAGAGTTATCCGCTTGTATGGACTGTCAATATTCAATACTCTAAGCCCTATTTGATTGAAAAATGCTATTAATCCCCAGTGGGGATGCATCCCCAGTTTATGTGGATGTAAATGATTGGTTAAATAATAGGTGAAATTAAATGACTTATTTAATTTCACCTATCATTTAATGCCTCATTAACGCCACATAGATTGAGGATGCATCCACAGTGGGGATGAATAGCATTTCTCTATTTGATTTATAGCATTTTCCATGGCAGTAGGAAATCATTTTCCATTTTCCAACTAAGTGAATGTTTGATAGCACAAAAATTCCATGGAACTCCTTTTCCAGCATGGAATTCACGCGCCTAATTTTCCTCTTTTTTGATGAAATTGTTTTCCCATGATTTTGGTGGTTTTATGTTTTCCACCCTTTTTTTGTTTTTGTTTTGGCAATTAGAACAAATTCTAGACCCAATGGTAAAAAAAAAATTATCACTTTAATGGACAATTTCTATGAAAAACAAAGTCAAACGGATACCAAACTTTCAACAATTTTCAGGTGGAAAATTATACCAATCAAATACAATTAATTACAATTCTCACTAAAACATTTTCCAAGCAATTCAATTATCTGTAAAGCATTTTCTTTCCACCCAATTTTCACTTTTACAATCAAACAGACCCTAATATTTAAAAAGGGTAAAAAGTGTGATAATGAAGTAGCTTGGAGCCATTTGAGGGGTTTAAAGGACATGAAATATTGAATAAATGCAATGATATAAAGTCAATATAACAATTTGCAAACTATAACCCTCCAAATTAATACTCAAGGGTGGGTCCAAATATATTACTGTCTACTTTCTACAAAATTACAATATTTGAACTATTTTTTAGCAAGTCATCAAAATAAGGGGGCGTCGTAGGATAATTTTCTAATACTCATGGGTGAAGTGTTAAATAACTTAAACGCTTGGGCTATGTTTGCAAATTATTTTACTTCAACTTCCATAAACCCTAGACTCATATTTCCTTTATATATCCTCCCCCGTCGACCCGCCTCTCACTCTAGGCCTCACAAAACCCTAGCCTGCACACACATAAAAACACACACATTCTGTAGCCATGGTTGCAAGAACTCCAACCAGAGGTATATATCTGCATTCATGCGTTATGTGTATATGGGAAGTTTTGTAATCGATTTTTTTGATTAATTTTACTTGTGCAGGGCGTGGTGGCGGTGGGGGTTTTAGGGGAGGTAGGGGAGATGGAGGAGGGAGAGGTGGAAGAGGTGGCAGGGGTGGTTTTGGTGGAAGAGGCAGTGATAGTGGAATGAAGAGAGGCGGCGGTAGAAGTGGCGGAAGAGGCGGAAGGGGAGGAAGAGGTGGAAGAGGAGGAGGGATGAGGGGAGGGAGCAAGGTTATAGTGGAGCCACATAGACACGAGGGTGTTTTTATTGCTAAGGGAAAAGAGGATGCGCTTTGCACCAAGAATATGGTTCCTGGTGAAGCTGTTTACAACGAGAAGAGAGTCTCTGTTCAGGTTTGAATTTGAGTATATGACTGTTTATTATTCTGTCGACTTTTATGTGGTTTACGATACTTTTTGATGTGGTTTTATCAGTTTGATGACTGAAGATGTGATTTTAATTGAATATTTGCATATGTTTTTTAGGAAAATATGTTATGATATGTCATTGCTTTAATTTGAAGCATATTATTATTTCTAAATGTCTGATAAATCAGTTTCTTTGACTGATAACAGCATGTTAATACAGACTATTCTACCGCTATTGAATTGTGAAATGTCTTCCTTTTGAGCATGTTGACTAAGCTTAAGTTTACTTACTAATAATGTAAATGAGTTAGTTTTAACATAAGCACATTAGTCAAGGTTGTAACTTGTGTTATTTCAATGTGAGAAACAAGTGAACATGTTATATAAATATTTTACATTTTTTAAAGCATAGCCAAACATGCACCTGTTGTTGAATAAGGCGGCTTCATTTATATGATTTTCGCTTGGTTTTAAGTTAAATGCAGCCTGCAGTCCACTTCGTTATTCAAAGAGTTATCATTTTTCATGAGTTTAGTTTTTGTTTTTCGTTGGTGATTCGTGTATTTTATTGTAATGGTCAGAATGAAGATGGGACGAAGGTTGAATACAGAGTATGGAATCCTTTCCGCTCCAAATTGGCGGCTGCCATTCTTGGTGGAGTAGATGACGTTTGGATTGTAAGTTTGTGAACCATGCTATTCCAATACTAAGTTTGATAAGATGCATTTTGTGTACCCTATAATCTTTTCTGCGCAATTCATTTTCTGATCTTTTTATTGGTTAAGAAACCTGGTGCTCGTGTCCTTTATCTTGGAGCTGCTTCAGGAACAACTGTTTCTCACGTATCTGATCTTGTTGGCCCTGTAAGTACTTGTGCTTGTGTGGCCTATATCAGTTTTTCATATATTCCATGAAGTGGTGCTTATCCATTCCTGTTTCTATTTCCCTTATTGGCAGAATGGAGTGGTCTATGCAGTGGAATTTTCTCACAGAAGTGGTAGGGACTTGGTGAACATGGCCAAGAAGCGGACTAATGTTATTCCCATCATTGAAGATGCAAGACACCCAGCCAAGTACAGAATGCTTGTTGGCATGGTGGATGTGATATTTTCTGATGTTGCTCAGCCTGATCAGGTTTGATTTCTGTGTGGCTTGTGATCTTGCTATTCTTGGATTACTTGTGGAACGTGTTCTTTATTTGTTCTCTTCTCCTTTACAGGCAAGAATTTTAGCACTCAATGCCTCGTACTTCTTGAAAGCTGGAGGCCATTTTGTGATATCAATTAAGGTTTGTGTTATTGATTGCTGTCTGCATATAGCTTGTAGTACAAGGTTGATTATGGCCATCTTCAGTTGCAATTGCCTTGTTTCTCTTACCTTTCATTATTCTTATTAGCGGAAAACTTAACTACCCTTTTTCATAAGTAATGAATATTATATAAAATTCCACACGTTGCATCTACGCCCCAGGTTGGCGGCATTGAGTAGTATCACCTGTTCAAGTTAGAGTATTTGATTAATTTATTGACATTAAACGAACTGTATTTTTCATAGCCTGGGATGGATCTGTGGGGTTCGTTTATTCTTTAAGCCATTCTAGAGTCTTAACATGAGTAGACTAAACACGCATCTTTATATAAATATTGAATTTTTAGTTATCTGAAAATATTTTTGTTTTCCATCTTTTCAGGCAAACTGCATAGATTCAACAGTTCCCGCGGAGGCTGTATTTGCCCAGGAAGTGAAAAAGTTGCAAGCAGACCAGTTCAAACCCAGCGAGCAGGTTACTCTTGAGCCTTTTGAACGAGACCACGCTTGTGTTGTTGGGGCCTACCGAGTCCCAAAGAAACAAAAGGCTGCTGCTTAAACATTGTTGCCTCTGTTCTCTCTCTCTCTCTCAACCCTGAGGACTTGGATTGTGTGGTGAAGTCTCTGTCTGAATCGTTTTTTATATGTAAACATTATGTCGAGACTAAGGCAATTTTTGTTCGCATAGACTTGCTAATTGCTTTCTATTTAGATATATAATGGAGGTGAATCTCTGTCTTCAAGCATTCACGAATGGAATATTACTTGTAGCGTCAAGTTTAATATGCCTTGCGATGTTACTAATTTTGAAACCTGAGTGCCTGGAAAAACACGAAATCACGGAATTTTTACCATCACAAGTAACACTGACCTTTATTACAGATCCTCCACCATCATACAGGCAAAGGCTTGTGCTACTCTTACTCTTCTTTACAAGGTTATGATAGTTTATGATAGAATTTCGAATCTTAATATTCCATTTTTAGCTCAGTTTCAACAATTTTTTTTTAAAGCAAAGAAACATCAATTCATTCGATACCAATAGCAAGAGTTTGGAAAAAGCTATGAGCACAGGAAACTCTTGATAGAATTCCTATCGACGTTGATGTGGTCGCAGATTATTGGATTGGTTTTTTTTCATTTCCATCTTCCAATCAATTCCTGTTACTTGTCTGTCGATGTCTTTTGTCAAATTTTTTGTACTTGTAGTATGATTGCAAGAGTTTCAACAATACAATTAGGATGCTTATCTTCGCAAATAGTATTCTGGAAAACTGTTTTGCTAGACCACGTGCAGCTCCATTTGGTTCACGTTGGATTGACACCGAGATCTGGATACGTGGTCAACAAACTTCGAATGCAGCATAGGATCGTACCTTTCACACATGAAAGTTAGGTCTTGCACCGCGGCCACTGCATTACAACATGATTCAAGGCATTACCATGTTTAATAGAGAATCTAATCCCTCCTAAAATTGCTGCATATTTTCCTATGATTGGCGAAATTATTCCGAGTGGATTTGGGTAAGGCAGCTATTATGTCTCCATTTCTGTTTACGACAAATCCGAATTCCATAGAATTCATGTCCGTTCTTTACAGCAACATCTACGTTCATTCAGTCTTTTTCCCGATATGGGCTGCCATTTCCGTCAACTGTACAAGCAACAGGGGTTGAATCTCGTGGTCTGAAATACATAATCTCACTCGCTGCCTTTGTACTCAAGTCAAAAAGTCATTGGATTTGTGAAAAATATTTGGGAGATGCTACAAGTACATAAGGGTGTACACTCGAGTTTACAGCCATGATGTACATGTAGTAAGATTGTAGTGGGTTTTCGGTGGGATCTTTTCAAATAGGCTGAATTTCTTTCCCTCCAGCAATTCCACAGCATTCACGCTACCAAAGGGAAGTCCACCATTTCAAACAATTCGAGCATGCCCGTGAAGTCGAGTTTCTCAATCACCGCGCTGAATGGTATCCTGACTATACCGAGTAAATTTCGTCCCACTCGAAATGCCCCATTGTTAAATCTTCTCCTTATGTGGTTCCACTGGGCAATGAAACATTTACAACGATAATATATATATATATGTTAAATCTACGCTACTACAAATATATTAAATAGTAATTAGCTGACAAACATTTAAAATAATAATTATTTATCAAAATGTATTATAATTTATTTAATATTAATCTTATGTAATTAAAATTATAAAATTGTTAAAAATTAAAACAATTAGCGCCCCTGTTTAGTGTAGATAAAAACTAATTTTTTAATAAATTTTAATAAAAGTTGATAAAATATATAATTAAAATTAAGTCAGAGATAGTTCGTAGTGCCATATTTGAAAATGAATAAAGTCAGCACAATCGAATCAGTAACCAGCAACTGCCACCCCTCGAAAGTGCCCAAATAGCCACGTGCCCGCACCCAATGGAAACCAGACCTATACATCACACGAATCCATTTAATAAACAATTAAAAAATACTCATATACCACTGTTCTCTCGTTTCTTTAGAAACCCTATTTATCTAATTTTATTTATTTATTTTTGATTATATACTGAAAGCTTCCTTCAATATATTCTGTTTTCCTTAGGTACGTGATAAATTCTTTGGATAATTATAGTACATTAATTATATTTGTGGTACTTTTATTCATTGCTTTTTTTTTTTAAAGTAAAGATAGAATCTTATGAAAGTATTGATTGAAATCCGTGTTAAATTCCTTCTAGTATTGCCGTTGTAATATTTTAATTTTGGATTAAGATTATGGTTATTGTGGGTATATATTTTGCTGCAATATTCTGAATTCTATTTATTTAAGTTGGTTTTTTACACGCTTCAATTTTTGTGTTTTTGTGTGTGTGTGGGCGGTTTTTTTTTTTTTTTTTTTTATTATTATTTTTTTTATTATTTTCCTAAAAAATTTTCAGTTATACNTTATTATTATTATTATTATTGGCTTATGCTGATTATAGCCACTAGCAAGAGAAATTGTAAAAATTGAAGGTGACTGTCACAGTGCAATTAGTTTAAGTTCATTTTATTTTTTGGAGCAATCAGATATTTCCTGATGAGGGCAACACTATTTTGTCAATTATTTCCGAGACGGTTATCTTTTCTGTGTTACGTTCAGTTCAAGATGCACCCATCATTCTTTTTTTTGGGATACCTTATTTTTCAATTTTTGACATGAAAGACCCCCTTTTTTTGAAGTCCCTGATTAGTCTTGTGCGTTGTATGTTGCGGTAGTTCAGCCTTTAGATGATTCAATATTTGTTAGGCAGTAAGTACTAGATTTGATAGATATTTCTTTTATGCTCACTTGCCAGTGTTCTGTACATATATGGTTGCAAATAATTGAGGTTCGATAGTAAATTCGTGGCTTTATCAGTTGTGGTTGTTGATTTAGAAATCATTTTCTAAGTGGACTCTGCTGCGTATACAGCGAAATAGTAAGTTTCGCATCAGTTCAATAAATGAAAAATATTTCCGTAAATGAAATAAATTCTGTGTAAATTGGCATTTTTAAATAGTTTTGAGCTACGTCTTCCCATATATCTCACCCCACGGAAAGAAAATGTTGGTATTTAGGATTGTTTCTGTGGCAAAGAAATTACTTTTCTTTCCTATGATAAGAATATTTTTTTGAATGGAACAAAATCTCTCTTTCTCTTTCTTTTTATCTTCTCTTCAATTTTTCTCATGGTTAAACTTTATGTGCACGATTGATCTTGTCACGGTATGCTAGTTGTCACCCATTCTGAGTTCTGACCCAATAACACGAGTATGAATATAAATGCACTCTTATTGGGGGATTACATAGTTTGTGTTCTGTGTCACTTATCTATTTCACTTCCCAGATTTTCTTCTTTAGCCTAGGACTTTCGGTTTGTTCGATGCGTTCTATTTCTTTTGGCACAAGAGTTTTAAACTTCATTTATTGTTTTGAACAGGTTGGACTGTATTCATAGTTCAGGCATAGCCTCTCACTAATGTCCCACGGTTTAACTGGGGCAGAACTTGAAGATCTGATGAAGGTTTCATTTTAAGTGCACGCACTTTTTGTTGCAATTTGGATCGTTCCCCTAGCGAAGACTTTATGGTCACTTTACGAAGTTTGTTTTCTAGAGAAGAGAAGCCGTCAATTTTATTTGTTGCTTCCTCACTTCTGACTCCAAGATGCATATGAAACATATTTGTCCCTGTGATCATCTAATGTCAGAAGGTTCCATGGCAGTTGTCAAACCAGAGGTTTGTGGAAGGATTATTTTAGACTTCAGTTATGCTTACACGGAATATAATACAGATATAGATCTTAATGGCACAAGTGTGAAGGTTACTCTTTTCCAGTCTTTAGTAATTGGATATTTGCACCGCCTGTTTCTTTCGATACCCGTTCTTCTGATTCCATTTCTTTCCCTGTGAAACATTTCATTCACATTTTCACTCTCTATTTCCTATTGTTTATTGGGGGGTTATAGATTCAATATACTTAAACAGCAGTGATGTCGCCAATCCTACTTTATATTTCATTTCAAAATATTTATGGTAGAACACCACCATGTTGAAGGGCTATTTACCCCATGACTTAAGCTACGTGTTACTGAAACACTGCTGGATAAGAGCTATGATATATCACATTGATTTACTCGGTGACTAGGAAGAGGAAACTTTTTCCTCCTTTCTGAGAATGTTTCTTGTTTAGCTTGAATTATGGGGACGTTCTTCTTCCATGATTTCAGTTCAACGACACAATTATTATCTAAATAAAATGAATCAGAATGAATGGCAATATAACCATCATATTTTTGCCTTTATCAAATGATAATTTTTTTTCTTGCAAATGGTCTGAAAAACATAGACAGTCAGAATTATTTTGAGGTCTTTCCTGTGTACTCAAAGATCTTGCTTGTAAAGCCACCCGAGTGTGAAATTGCCATATGTGATTTGTGATGCAAGCTTTGGACTTTTGGATCTTTAGTAGATATATTGTTCTTAAGTTACCATAATATTTGCTTGTGTTGAGGTATTATAGTTGATTCATATATTTTTTTTATGGTTTCCCCTATATAGATGAAATCATTTATCTGGCTTCAAACCACTGATGGTTCGATTCAACAAGTGGAGGAAGAGGTTGCAATGTTTTGTCCTATGATATGTCAGGAAGTACTACAAACAGGCATGGGATCCTCCAAAAATTATGCCATATCCCTTCCTCAAAGAGTTAATGCTGCTATGTTGGGTTTAATACTTGACTATTGTCAATTTCACCAAGTACCAGGTCGATCCAATAAGGTCTGAAACCTTCTCATTTTTGGCTGAATGTGAACTCTCCACCCCCGTCTCCCCATCCCGTGGTCAACCCAGGGAGGGGATCTTTTCACTGTCTTTGTATTGTTTTCTAAGTTCTGCTTCGTTAATTAATATAATTTGGACATGCGCTGGTTCTTCATCTCTGTGTGCAACCAAGCAGGATCAGTTGATTTACACCATTTGGTATTGCAATACAGTAATCAATATGCTTTGTATGCATATTATGGAAGACAGTTTTCTTCAATATATAGAAAAGGTTCCTGTTTAATGAAGAATTGAGTTTGATTCTTCTGCATATCTAGGAGAGGAAAACTTTTGATGAGAAGTTTGTCCGGTTAGATACGAAAAAACTATGTGAGTTGACATCTGCTGCGGATAGCCTCCAACTGAGGCCTTTGGTTGATCTGACCAGTCGTGCACTTGCCCGGATGATTGAAGGAAAAACTCCTGAGGAAATACGTGAAGCCTTTCATTTACCTGATGATCTGACAGAGGTACCTGTTGCTAGAAGATGAAAAAATATACAGTCCTCATTGTCTTTCTTTATCTGATACTGGTATTATTTATATATTGCAGGAGGAGAAGTTGGAACCCTTGAGAAATATATCCGATGATCCACGTATCAGGCTTTTGAATCGATTATATGCAAGAAAAAGGAGGGAATTAAAAGTTAGACAGAATCTAAAGGTGCTTGAAGATCTGCTCTTGTTTCTAGCCTTTGCTATTGGATTATAATAGGTGCAATACTAGGCTGTTGAATTGCAACTTGACATTTAGAATTGCCGAAATTTATTTAACTACTGACAGTATAGTAACATGTCTCATAATTATAACGTGCATTTTTGTGCTAATGGAAACTGCATTTCGTAACTTTTAGAATATTGAGGTTGAAGAAGAGCAACCTGTGGATGAACGCTCAGTTGATGATCTTTTGTCATTTATAAATGGTGGAATTGGAGGTACTGCAAATTGTCAACCCATTCTATTCAATGAAGACTTCCTTTTTGCATTCATGTAAATGTAATTGACATTTTCAACTCCTTTATAATGACTCATTCTCCTTGATGAACTTGTAAGTCGTCGATGAGACAGCAGACTGCTGTCTCAGCTAGTCTATTGAAGTTTAAAGTTCTTGAAAATGGCTTTAATTTGCAATCTTTATTTGCTATTGAACTTTATATGTTGCTGTAAAATATGGTTTAATTTGTGTTTTAGCTTCAGTATTGTCAGTATTAATTTTCTTCCTGGTCTGTAAGTTGCGTTCACACACGCATGCACATTCTTTTAGTTTCTTTGGTAAACTTATTGCCCATGAGCTGTCTGCCTGAAACTTTGAAGTTCTAAAGAAAGTTTATTTTTCATAAATGGTCGTGTTAAAAACTTTTTCTCTGTTATTTTTTCTTCAATACTTCTCTGCTATGTGGTCTACAGATTCAAAAGGGGCTAGAGCTACTAAGAACAAAAGGAAAAGCAGGAGGAGGAAAGAACAGCCAAGAAATTCTTCTTTAAACAATGAAAATGGAGACAATAAGGTTGGTTCCCTTCCACACTCTCTCTCTCTCTCTCTCTCTGTGTTACCTAATGATGTCTTTTAATGAGAAAGAAAACTATATGATCCTTCGTTGATTCTGTGGATCTCTCTTGATACTTTAGGAATCAAATAGTTTCTCTTCTGGCTGCATCAATAGTGACAGTAATAATGTTGCCTCGCCGAGTAAAACTTCAATGCCTAAAGACATGGCATCTGTTATATTTTCACCCAAGCTGGGCTTCAACGAGGGTGATATAGATGATGAGTTAGATCCAGTGATGAAAGAACAACTTGACAGGTGTGATGGTTGTGACATATTTATATTCAAGTTCCATGATGTTTCTCGTCCATGGATTTGATATCAAATTTTAAATTATTGTGCACAACTGCATTTGTTTTATTTTTCTCATTTTTTAAAGTGTTGACAACTTATTTGGTCATACAATAACTGTCATTTTTACTCATGATTGGAAAGCATTATCGCTGTCCCCTTGTTATTACCTCCTGTATTTTACGGTGTTGTAAGCCTGCTTATTAGTATGATAATTTTGTTGTGAGTGAACAAATCACAGTGTTTGATTCTGAAGGTGAAGTATTCTGCAGTAAAAACTAATTCTTCCCACCCCTACCCCTAGTTCTCCCTCAAATTCGTCTTTCTTCATCCATGTGAATCTTGGTGTTCCCCTTTCATTTTTCATCTATTGCCTTCTCTCAATTTTTATTCCCCTAAATATTGGATTAGTGGATAAAATGAAATTATGTTGTTAGCTCTCTATCTATTACTAAAGGAAGAGGGAATGCCGAGCTAGTTGGGGGTGTGGGTGACTGTTGAAGATTCAAGTGAGTGACAAATGAAAGTGAAGAGTTCAATGCACACAGAAGCATCATGAATGCTATGTGGGACAGTGTTGGAATAGTTGGAAAATTAGGAAAATCATTAACATAAAATGTATGTCTGAAATGAGGATGTTAAGATCAATGATTATAGAACAAGAAGAGGTAGAGGGAGACGTGTATTGATTCGTCATTGATTAAGGCCGTACTAACTGGACATAAATTCTGGGACTGGGAGAACTGATAGTTTTATGAAATTTGAAGACTGCCTTCAGATACAAGGTCAGGAAAGTGATGGGACTAGAACCTAGAAGTAGATGGCTAGATGCCGATGTATGATCCCAGTGAATGAGGTTTTGAAAGGGATTTGGTCTTTTGCAATTTATTTAAGAAATGAACCCTGGTAGAGACGAACAGAAGAAAAGGATCCATCAAAATGATCCCAAATAAATTTGGTTTAGGCTAACTGAACTGAATCGAGGGAAGTGCCTGATTTCAAGATTTTGAAATCTTGATTTTGTTTTGAATTTGGTTAAGTGGAACTATATGAATCTAATAATCCTTTTGCTTTCCCTACTTACAGGGAGGTTGAGGATTTTGCACGGAGATTGAATTCTGTCTGGCCTGAAAGAATGCAGGAGCTGTTATCATTTGATCAAGAAAGACGTCTTGTACCAGTAGCTATCAATGGAAATGGATCTTTAAAGAGATGTACAGGTAAGCTGCATTTATCAAGTGAAATCGGTTATGCAGTATGATGATCTCATAACTAAAAGTTTGCTACCATTTTACCCCCAGAAAACTAGTTTCTTCCTCGACTAATAATCCACCCTTCATGAGGGAAAGAGAGAGAAGAAAACTAAATCAATGGGTATCAAGTATTGCCCCCCAAGAGCTAGTTTTCTAAGCTTAAAAAGTTCACGTACAAGTAAATAAGTTTTAAAATGAATTATATTTTTTCTTTAAAAAATTTGGAAATAAGTTGCTTATTTTGACTTGAAGCTAAAGTTATTTTTTTAAATAAATAACTTTTTTATTTTAAAGTAAAAAGTAACTTATCCAAATATCTTTGAATACAAAAAGTTACTTGAAGGTAAGTTTTATTTTTGAACTTACTAGCCAAACACGAAAACTCTGTTAACACTTGCACAGTGCTGGGCAGTTTTAATAGAAAACTTGATTTTTTTGAGCAGGTTTGGACGGGAGATGATGGTCATGAGCAGCAATTTTCTCGTTTCTCTTTCAGTTTAAGATGATTTTGATGAATGTAGCTCTTATTTATGATCTGAGATTACGGCAACATTTTCATATCGAA